TATATATACATATACAGTGTAATATCAGTAAGACTTGGGATTGATAAGTGTTCTTCCATCTTAAAACTCACATTGTCTTAGCACCCTTGTTAGCTGGAATCCGTATACAAGTAGTTAGTCGTAAGCCCTTCCTGGGCGTAACCACAAAATGTGCATTTCCCGGCAGTCACACACTGATTGCAATAAGTGTGCGTGCGTGTGTGTGTGTCTGGTTGTGTGTGGGTGTGGCTTCTGCTAATATCCTTGTTAATATTATTAAACATTATTTATGGATTTGTTTAATTTGTATTTAGTAACGCTTCGCATGCCAGCACCTTCCTGCCTTAGCCAGCAGCTGCCTCTACCGTTGCCTTTACCATTGCCTTTGCCGTTGCGCAGAACTTAAGATCCCTGCCTGTGGTCGACTGCCTGGCGACTGGTGTTGCCTGCTGCAGTGCCGCCAGCTGGGCCAGCTGTCCGCATATCCTTGCCTTGGCGTTGCTGCTGTTGTTTGTTTTCCGTTAGCGCACGTCTTAGCCCGCCATTGGTGCTTGCTGTCGCGCCTTTGCCGTTGTCCTGGTGGAACAATTACATGGTTTTGCCTAATGAATTTATCTGCTCATCAGCATCTCCAGCTCTCTGTGTGCGTGAATCCTTGCAAGCTGTGGGTGGAGAGGGTAGCCAGAGTACATTTTATGTAGATTTCCTAACACAAATTATGTTCATTTGCCCGGCGTTGCATGTTCCTATCCCAGTAGCAGCAGCCGCCGCTGCAGACACAGAGCTGCCTCCAAACTGAGTGAGAACTTTATGAAAAACCCGTTCTATGTTGACTTCATAGTCTGAGTAGCTGCAATATACATACATACATATGCACTATACATGTACATATCACTGTCTGTTTGTATGTGTTAGTAGCCAGATGTTTCCGCTGAAAATTAGTGGTCATAAGTTTTAGAGATGGCAATGTATTAAAGATTATGGAAACTAGGCTTAATACCTATTAGAGTATTTCACATAAAATTCAATAAATTATTAAGTTAAAATATATATTTTAAAATTTACTTAAAT